CTGTGTGTTACACCTCTAAATGACTATGAGAATTCCCTGCTTGCCAAAATTGTTTAAAATTCACCTGTGGGTGAACAAACACAGACAAAGAAGACGCCTTACTACCTTGTGTAATTTCTTTAGGAAAGTAAACTTTTTTTAAAAATAAAAAGCCCAAAACACAGGCTGGAAAATTAAACTGCAAGAAATTTGGAAATACATGGATGTAAATTGCTCAGATGGTTGCCAGAATTTGATTTGAATTGGCCCCTTTTATTGCTGTTGGACATGGTGGAAAGAAGTCCATACAGATTTGTGCACTTCAGTTGGTTATCTGTGTAACAACAAGGTACATTCAGTCTTCTCTCAGAGGCTTCAATTATATTTCAAATATCATAGCACACACATACCTTCTGTGAATACATAGATGTATAAGGATAGTGTCTGTCACATGGATGAGCTAGGTCAGCCTGGAGTCCAAGGTATTAGACCAATTCCCAAAATATATGGACTTTTGCCCATGCTAATGAGGAGGATGCTGCTAGCTGAGTACCCAGCCCTGTTTGTACTCTGGTAAGTCTAGAGACAGGTCTTTGGCATGGAAAATTTTACCTCCAGTGTAATTTAAGTAATCTAAGCACCTGAAAACAAAAGCGTAGAATTCCTGGGTAGGAAGGGATCTTCAAGATCTAATTCCAACCTTCCTGCAGTTGACAGAAACACCTGTCACAGAGTATTGGTACTCTCTCAGTGATGCTGTAGTTGAACAAGTATTTTCTCAGAGGGCAGTTGGTTTCAGCATCTCCACTTCATGCTGTTCCTCAAGTTTTGGTGCTGGAGTTCTTCGTGCAGCTGTTTGATCATCTGAACTAAAAATGCCTTGGTAGAGTGAGGAGGAAAATAATTTTTTTTTAAACTGAGCTTGCTTTCCAGTGTGGTTTACTGCCTAAGTCAACAAGTAGTTAAACCCTACTGTCAGAGACAGGATAGGATAAAAAGAGGTGCTGAGTTTACTTCAGCCCACAAAACTGACAGACTGTCTGGAGTGAGGTGTCCGTGTGTTGGTGTGTCCCGGTCAGGTTGCAGGTCTCAAGGCAGGGGTTTCCTTCTGCTGGGCTGCTTTAGATCTGTCCACAGCACTTGTAAATTGTGTAAATACTGAAGCAGAAGAGCAGTTCAGCTTCACCTGCTATTTGAGCTTACTCTGACATCCATCCAGGTTTCCTTGACTTGACTCCTTGGAAGGCAAGAAGGTCCTGGTTTTAAAATTGCACTGTGCCTTGTAGCAAAACCACTGGAGTGCTTCTGTTGTCTGTGCAATCTTCCTGCATGGTTTTGAAAAGCTTGTTTTAATGAACCTCTTGGACTGTGTGCAGTGTGTATTTTTTTTATTTTAATGGGTTTTTTTTAATGTTTGTTTTAATGAGGTATTTGCCTTGAAGCTCAGGAGCTGTGGCCATAGCTGTGGGGCTCTCTTGGGTTCCATGGGGATTTTGCTCTAGAGACTGTTCAGAAGCCAGGATCTTGGCCGCTCCACTTTGTTCTTGCCAAGCCTGCAGCTGTGATCTCTGGTTTGCTGGCTGACCATGAGCAGTGGACAGCAAGGAGGCACAAATTCCTGGAATCCCTCTGCTGCATGGAGGGAGATGTGCCAGTGGACAGAATTACACTCACTTGCTTCATACTGCCCAGGCAAATGCTCTTTTAAAGAAACTTATTTTTTTCAAGCAAAGCTAGAAAGCAAATGGCTTTCTAGAAACCAGAATACAGAGCACTAATCCAACCGCAAGGGTCTGTTGTACTTGGGGAAGGGGGAGGCTTGCCATTACATCTGTGTGCTGAAGCATGCTGTTACCCAGATGCCAGCCAGCTTTTCTCCAGCCTCACCTGACCATAGGGCTGGAGCCAAACATGTCTGTCCACTCCTCAGAGCGGGACTGCAAATGTATTCCATGAATAAATTGTTCTGGATTGCTCTTTCTTTATTTAATAAAATGAAACAATGTTCACACGTACTATGAAATAGTTCAAATGAGGTAGCCCAAAATGCTATAGTAAAGAAACAGCACTTTCTTTGAGTGCTTCAATATTAGTGGGATGGCAGTGAGAATAAGCAGAATGAGCACTAGTCATTATTCAGTGTCTTGTGTAATTGCCTCAGAGTACCACCCAAGTCCAATCACAGCACTCTGCCAGCTTCAGGGAGAACTTTGGACTTTTAAGATTCCTTCATCCCTATTGTTAAACTAAATGGAAACCATGTACTAAGGGTTTAGTGAAATTTAGTTTCACAGGTTTGTCACACAGATACTAGCTGACTGATCTTCTAACCCTGGCATATTTATAAATTTGTAGTCACATGATACAGATAAAACAAATATGTATAACTACAATTCAGTTTTAGGATTGTGACTGTTCTCCTATTCTGTGCAGCAGTGAAGTCCTAGAAGCAGATAATTCCTTAAAATCTGTCTAAAAACTGTCTTGATGTAGTTCATAAGGACAAGACAGAACTATTGATTAAGTTGAGCAAGATTTTTGCTGTTGCGGAAACTGCGCTCTGGCTTTAGAGCCACCTCAAGAATCATACTGAAACAGACTAGTTTTACCTACTGCTGGAGGAGTTGCTGTTGGTTTGTTGTGGTTCTTCTAATAGCAGTAGAGTTGAAGAGGTGACATTTGTGCCTCCTCAGTTTGCTGCTTTTATTACTTCAACCTTTATTAGAGACTATAGAGACACATCTTTTTTTTTTTTTTCCCTGGCAGTTCTTGAGCAAATATTCTGGGTTATGTCATTAATTTTTAATTCTCTTCCATTTCTTTTTACTTCTTGCAGTTCTTGTGTGGTTGGTGAAAATAAGCCTACACTACAGGAATGCAAGAGGAGCAACAGCCTGAGGTAGGATTTGAAGATGACATTTGTATCTCAGCACAGTTGCAGGGAAGGTCAAGACTTGAATCAGCCAGGTTCTTGCACTCATTCTTGGACAAGTTCTGCAAAGTCTTAGGACTCAGAATGCCAGTGTGAGACCCCTTTTAAAATGGTATGGAGAGCTGAGCGTTATTTTCCTTGATACCTTTAGGTTCTTTTCAGGTTCTCTTTCCCTCCAGATGCAAAAGCTAAAATGGGTCTTTTCTTACTTGCAAGTGAGGAATTGCATAAAATAGTCTAACCTATGAGATTAAACCTTTAGGAGGAAAAAGGTTTTGTAAGTAAATTACAGAAATTGATTATTTATGAATAATCTCATTGTATGTGGCTGAAGTTCCTTGCCAGATTAAACTGAGATGCTTTTTCTATCCTTTCCGTTCCTTCTCTTCTTCTTTCATATCTGTGTATCTCAGAACCTTTTTCTGGTATAATAGATGGAGCTCAGGAAATTTTTATCCTATGAAGTATAAGAATGTCAGTTCTTTTGTCTTGTTAATAAAAAAAAAGACAACAGATTCCTAATGTGGTGGCTTAGTGCTGTGCTCATTGCAGTGTTGTGATGTTGTGATGACAAAGTCAGCAGAAGTGACAGGGTTAATTCCATGTGTTACAGATGGATAAATTTTTCCAAAATATTGTTGTGACTAGACTTAATGTATGGAAGCAGTAGAGTCAAGCCATATGTTGTGATCGAAAGCTGAGCTGCTGGTAAATTAGATTTGTGAATGTAATTGCAGTTTGCAGTTGTCAATGAACAGACTTTTGCTATGTAGTGAAAGGATGATGTGTTGCTGTTGAGTATTTTAAGCTTTGCACTGTAAAGCTGTTGTACTTTTTGAGTTTACTCCATGAAATGTATAATAAATTTTTCCTTGCCTTCAGTGGGGCCACGGTAAGATACTCAGGATTAATTTTCTCAAAATTCCTGATTAGCATAATGGAATGCAAGAAGAAAATAATTACTCTTGTAGAAAGCTCTTAACAACTGGATGTGCTTAGTACAGCCTTGCTTTAAACATTACCAGGTTATGTACAAAGTCAGTAAACCAGTCATTTTAGCTGAAAAGCTGACATCCATCAGGAGAGGTTGGCTACCTGCTTGCTGACTCATCAATATTGTCTGTTCTTTGGAAAGTACTTAAAAGTTGATGGGTTCTCGTCCCATGTCTAACTTTTTGGCTTAATGTTGTTCAGAAATTTCAAATTCTTCCAATAATCATCCTGATAAAACTTTGAATTAAGGTAGTTGTCTAAAAGTAGTTTGTAATTTAGCTTTCCCTTACTCCTGAGTCTTTTCTGCACTAGCTCTGCCTCTCTGGCTTGAATGACATTAGCTGAATGACTGGAATTGTTTGAATTCTGTGCACGAGTTTTCAAACTTGCCGGCTAATTAAAAATAACAAAGGTCTTTGTTAGCTAAAGACTTGTATCATATGCTTCCAGGGATAATATCTAAGAGTCAGTCTTGAGGAATCTTTTCAATTGCCTTCTGTTCCTTTAGAAAGCAAAACTCTGCAGATGCCTTATATCTTTTTGACTTTGATTTCTGATATGGATAAAGTCACTACGCACATGAACTTTCTAAGATTTGATGTACATATTGTGTAATTGCCTTATTCCAACAAATATTTGGCCTTTCTCTTCTAGAATGGATGTGTTTAGTCTTGTGAGTACTGATTAACTTTGTCAGACTCCTGACAGACTAATTCTGACTGATAGTTGAGTCAAGTGGTATAAAATAATCAATGCACATTTTAGTTTTCAACACAGAAAGTGCTGTGGTAGTGTTAGAGATAAATTTGGGTTTTTTGTATGGAATCCCATTTATTTTATAACTCCATGTTGGGTATAAATATTATCTCTTAAAATAGGCATGAAGTAGTTAGTTTTTAATATGTTCTTTCTCATACTCAGGCAGTTAGGAAAAAATAGTTGTAAAACCACAGATGGTTTTGAACTGTGACACTGCTTAATTTATTTACTTGCTTGAATATTATCAGTAGGCTCAAACTAAGTAAACTCACAAAGGAAAAGATGTATTAAAACATTTCATTATAATTCCCAGCCTCCTTTTGAATTTGTTTCATACAGGCTGCTGCAGATCCAATGTCGTCCTCTGATGCACCAGAAGATGGCCCAAAGGAAACATCAAGTGTATCACAGAATATCTGTATGTTTCTGGTTTGACTGGGGAGGGTGTACCGTACTGGAAGGGTATTAAACTAAATGTCCTTGCCTTTTCCTTACCTAAAAAGGTCAGGGCTGTTAGCAAAAAAGGGAGATGCTAATGAAGTCATAGCTGATTTAATCTGTTCTTTATTTGTTTCATGGCCCAGTTGTGTAAATCAAATTTAGAAAGAACAATAACATATTGATTGTCAGTTTGCTGATCCCATACTTTCAAAAGTAAATATGTTTAAATTTAATAGATAAACTCAGCTATTATTTTAAGCTCAGTTATTGCTTTCTAAGCCAGTGATGCATAAGCATGTGTTTGCTTTGACAGTCTGGCATCTAGTGATACAGTGTTGTCCTAAGTGGAATGCTTTTGCCCATGCTAGCATGAAAATGTTTTGGCAAGCCTGCGAGATGTGGCAATAGAAGTATTCCAACCAAAACTGTCTTGTTAAGCCCAGGAAGAGTATATTTTCTTACCTGTTACTGGTAGGATCAGGTAATGACAAGCATTTCTTAGAGGAAAACACAAAAGTTTCTTAGGATTTGCTTTATGTATATTGATACGCTGTTGTGATATTAAGTATACAGTGCTCATTTATAACAATAGGAACATTCAGATTGTGCTTTTCGGCAAAGAATGGCTCTGATCCACCTTAGGGCAAATTAGTGTATAACAGCAGCATTGCTGAATAACTCCTAGGGATCTCTCAGCTTTCATGGGAGCAAACAGAACCTTGACTAAAACTATGGGAGGTGTATGCAGACCTAAAGAAGCAGATGAATTTTCTATGTTGCTTTTTTCTCCAGATATAGAAGTTGGTTCAATAAAAACCATAGCTTCTCCTGAGAATGTTTTCCTTAATTGTGTCCTTAAATTACAACATCTGGTACTGTACCATTACCGCATTTTCTCTTCACATGAAACATTATTCAGTCCAATTCTGAATATATGTGTAAGGTGAAAGCTTGAAAAATAAGTAGTAATTACACCCTTTAAGGGTTACCAAATATGTAAAAACCACTTTCAGCTGGGAGAATCTGAGCCATAAATGGCTTTAGGCTAGGAAAGTATTTGAGACAGGTATTAGACACACTTCCCCATGTACTATATTCTCCATTAGGCATCCACTTTTGACCATAGGAGAAGGTGGGATATTTGCTTAGGCGGCTTTTTGTTGATCTGCTATGGCTGCTTTTATAATTTTGACTGACAATGCTACAAATGCAACAGCCTTACCTCTTCTTCCTTTTTCAGTCATGTTTTCCTTACCTCCTCCTTAGCATCACCAGCTGTTGTGGCAGCAACATTGTCATAGCTCAGACAGTACTGATTGCAGCACACCATGTTCTTGAGTATTGACCATGAAGTGGTATGCTGCTAAAATGCTAAGAGGGATGTTGAGGAGTTGCTTTTGGTTTTTTGGTTTGGGTTTTCTCTTTTATTTGTTTGGTTTTCTTTTAATTTGGTGGGGTTTTTGTTTGCTTGTTTTTGGTTTGAGTTTGTTGTTTTTTTTTTTACAGAAAGTCTTACAAGATTAGTATTTGTGGGACAGAACTGGGGCCAGAGCCACACAGTTCAACCAGGTTAATAAAATGAATGTGTGGTAGGAAGCTGTAATTTATCTGCATCTTTGACATCCTGCCTACAAACTGTTCACTAATCTTTTTTTTTTTTCCCCCCTGGGCTTATGATCCTATTCCAGGCTTCTGGAGACCACTTGAGACCTCTGCTAACTTGTGCAGCAGCTTGCCAGAGAAAGAGAGTTGGTTGGAAACAAAACTCTGCTTTCCTGCTTGATCCTTTTTTTTCCTAAGATGCATTACAGCTTAAAGATTACTCATTCAAAGCAACTTTAATTTCCCATTGATGTAGAGTTAAAGGTTCTCTGTCTCAGTCAATGAAGCTATCTGGCATTTAACGAGCAACTGTGGTGGAGTTGATAGATCCTCCTATTCTCCATACAGCAAGCTTGACATAGAGGAGCTAAACTCACATTGTACCATTTTGATCTTTAATAGTTGTTGGACCTAGGGAAGAATGATTGGATTCCTGACCTAAATACCTCTTGAGGTTTAATTTTCCTTTGTATACTGATCCCTGGTGTGTTAATCACAGAAAAGGCTAAGGTTGGTGCTGTAGGGATCCTATTTGTGCCAATATGTGCAGGTGCCTTTGCCATCATATTCACACCAGTGTCCATGTGTTGCAATCATTTATATAGATAAGAATCCCAAAATGGAACACTTTGGGTTTAGAATTTTAAAAATGCCTTTTTTCTTTTCTTTTTTTTTTTTTTCTCTAATTTAGTGTAAACCTTTTCTAAGTATTCTTTGCTTCTCTGTCCACCTCACCTGCCACACAGCTTCTCTCTTTCCCTTACTGAACTGCGTGGACAGCCTGTCCCAGTGTCCACAGGGTAGGATACCTGGACTGAGACCCATGCTTGGAGGCAGCCTCTCCAGTGATGGCACTCTCAATGATGTAGCTTCAGAATTGAATGTAAGATTACAGTGGTAAATCAATGGCCTTTTAGCTCTGCTCTGCTGTTTAGTGGCGACATTTTTATTTTCTGTCTTACTTACCTGCACTTTGTATCATGTGTGCTTTTCTTTTCTATTTTTCTTTACATTTATAGCTGATGCAGATGCATTTAAAATTCTCCTGGAGATGAAGTTGAAGAAGAGGCAGAAAAGGCCTGCTTTACCAAGCACTGTGACTGAGCTTGACACTGAGGATGGTTCTAAAGTGTATGTGGTCGGAACAGCTCACTTCAGTGACAGCAGCAAAAAGGATGTAGTAAAGGTAAATACTCAGTGCGAGCCCTTCAGCAGCATCTTTATAATGTTTCAGCTGAGCTCTACATAGCATGAAGTCCAGCTCTCTGTCTTGGTTCTGTGCTGTAACCTTCTGGCTCTATTTTTTCTAGTTGGCTGAACTAGCTAGGAGGGCTAACAGCACTATGGGATCAGAGGCAGACACGTTACAGTAATAATTTTTGATGCAATTCATTGCTCTCCCAACTCAAATAGTTTTATTTGCCTTGCAATAAAAAAGGCAGATACAGTGCCAGTGTTGAAAGTAGAAATCTCACTAGTGAAGCTTATGTTGCCTGGATCATATTTGGCTGTAAAACAATGCCACACAAAACTTGGATTCAGTTCTTAGGCTGCAAATAGGTCTGAAGCTCTAGTAAAAGTAGGAACTATTTCAAGTACCTCCTGCAAACTCTGCAGTTTAGAGTGGCTTTATTCAGGAGCTAGAGGGGGAGGAATATTGTAAGAATCAGGGTTGAAAATTCTGCACAAAGTGTATTCTAACTCAGACTGCAAAATACCACAGAGTAAAGTAAAATTAATTTTGTGATTGTGAAAAATTTAATGTGAAGTGTTTCTTCCTGGCTCACTTTCCCAGCAATATGTTCACCATTATCCTGTCCTAAAGTACCCAGTAACTAAGACATTTTACTGTCACCTTCCTTAATAATTTTGTCAATGGATAGTTATTTGGAGAACTCTTATTTACTATTCTACTGATTTTTAAGTTGAAAATTATTATTGGAATGTGCTTTTAAGGTCCCTTTTCTCTTTAAAGTGTTGATATTGGCTGCATTTCTGTTAATTCTGTTCTAAAGCAATATAAATAAATTCATCTTTTTCAGACGATACAAGAAGTGCAGCCTGATGTAGTTGTGGTGGAACTGTGCCAGTACAGAGTTTCTATGTTAAAGATGGATGAAAAGACATTATTAAAAGAAGCCAAAGAAATAAATCTGGAAAAACTTCAACAAGCTATAAAGCAGGTATGATTCCTAGAGTGAGAATTAAAGATTTATGTTAAGGGCAATTTGTCAAATTGCAATCATAACCAATGTTCCCACCATCTGGGAATCTAGTACTGTTGATGTAGGTGAGAATACCATAACAGTGGCAAAACTAGGTTGGGAGATTTTTCTGTTTTCAGATGGAGCATTGAGGACTTTGTTTTTGCAATGGGATTGGTTGGGCGAATTTTTGTCCTTAACAGGTATCCTCCTGCTTTTAACAGCTGCTCCATTTGCAGGACACAAGTCTAACTTTGCAATTGTAATGCTCTGCTAATATATTTAAATGTGATTATTATTCCTTCAACCTGCATCTGTATCACAACTATTTAAAGGGCACTTAATTTTGCTATTTTCTGTTTAGCTGCATTCCTTCTTCATCCTGGTGTGTTGCTCTTTAATTCCTACCTATTCACTTGTCTTTTGAGTAGTTTCTAATTGACAAATAGGCCTTGAAGGGGAATTCTGAAAAATTTAGGCTAAAAAGTGTGGGATTCTATTCATATTATAACTACTCTGGCAGTTTGATGTGGACATATTGGGATGTGTGTGCAAAAAAAAAAGTCTTGTATTTTTTTTGTATAAAGGCACAATTAAACAACACAAAGTTGACTTAAAAATGACAGGATACTTGATTAGAATGGCAGTGCGTGGTCAATAGTAAAGAGAGTGTCAGTGGCCAGTTGGATGAAGAAATTCATAGATTGTTATTTTGATTGTGTGGTAATTGTATATTGGAATTGCTTTATTGATGTAATTGGGGAATTTCCAGGACTGCACCCCTGATGGGAATAGAATCTACATGGATGCAGAAGCACTTGCAGTGGCTTGGGGCTGTGCAGTGTGTATGTGCTCACACAGGGTCTCAGAGCAGGCTTTCTGACACGCAGAGTTAGGCAATAATGCATCTTTCCTGTTTCCTTTATTTATGCCCTATCAAAGGAAAAAACACTGCAAAACACTTGCGTATTGCATGAATTGCTGCATCTATCTGTTAATTTTGGGTAAAGTGGATTATTCTGATGCAGGTAGCCAAAATGCATGTTTACAACAGCTGGAACCTCATAGCTAGGGGGCTTCTGACCTTGTGAACGGGCACAGAAACTTTTTCTTCTTTATGCCAACATTTCATAAGTGCAACATTTTGTGTTGTGTTCAGGGGAAAGGGACAGTGAAAACAGCAGACTTCCTTTTCTCTGTGATGTAAATTCATGTTGGCAGCTTTGCAGTTACCACTTCCTACCAGAGCGTGATCTTGTGTGCAGACAGTAGAAAACTCGGACTCTATTAGCTCCAAAGCCAGAGAATACTGTGAGGATCCTTCCTATTCTTGCAGTTCAGTATTAGTCTCCTTTACTTTATTTGCAGGAATAATGCAAATAATAAAATATGAACACTGGGACTTTTAAAGAATGTATTTCTCTATGGTCTCAACCAAAAAATCCTCCAATCTCTCCTGTTTGAATCACTAACAGCATGGATTATATAGGGAAAACCAGGAAGAACAGTCCAACTGTCTCATGCCTAATTATAGTGTCTTTGTTTTTCTCTGATAAAAATCAGACCAGTTTGTAAGCTGCTCAGTTATGCCTTAGTTGCCTCCTCTCACTGAAGTGCGACAGGCCCAAAAGCTACATTAAAAGCAAAACTGCTTTCAACTTTCATCCTTGAGTTTGGAAATGAGGAAGAAAAACCCAAATGGTGTCTTTCTATAATCACTTACATAAATATTAAGCACTACAATATGATTTCATTGCTCTTAATTGAAGCTGGAAGCTGAGCAGAATGTTGGCATGAAACATACGTATTTGCGATGGGTCACTGCTATCCACAGCTTATCAAGTAACTGCTGCAGGTTAAAACCAGACTTCCTTTAGCTCCTCCTTGAATTTCAAAACCCTTACAGTTGTTCGCAATGAAGAACCTGTTTGCTTTCCATTAAGCAAAGCAACATGGTGCAGAACTGGTATCTGGCTCAAATGTGGATAACCTGGAGATGTGCAGTACTGATATGACAGGTTCTCTTGTCTTCTCCCTGGCTTCCTGGTTCCACTATCCCTTCTGTGTCCATTTCATGGCCCTGTGACAGTTTGAGTAGGGCTCGGTTTTTGCTACATCATCTCCTGGCAGCTGTAAGATTGTTACTCTTGGCACAGGGGAGCCCTTGAGAAACCTCGGTCTGGGAACAGAATAGAAAGTGAGCTAGTGACAGACGAATTACAGTTCAGCCTCTTTCTGTGAAGTTACCTGTGCGGAAATATGTGGCTCTGGCTAGTGTCTGCATGTTTAGGTAACCCACAGGGATAGTCCTCTTAAATACAACAGATAGAACATGAATTGATAGATGATAGGTACATCCATAAGGACAGGAGCAGGCTGCTGTTCACTTGCTACCTTCACTTATGTTTTGAAGTCTAACTACCAGTGGCCTTGCAGCAGTAGGAAAACCAGTTCCAGGCTCCAGGTGTCAAGGCTGTGCTGCCTTCCTTCATGGGAATTAAGGTTTTTACAAGAATTGCAAATGAAAGGGCACATGGCTTGCTTCTGCTCGATCAGTGACTTGTAATGCAGTCAAAGAGTAGCTCCAAGGCCCCCTGCATAAGCTGTGTTCCCATACACAGTGTAAGTGTTCTTTGCCTGGGTATTACTTTCTCCTCCTGCCCTTTTCACTGTCTCTGTGCTTGTTGTGTGTCCAGTAATGTATCTTCCCTCAGTCATCCTTTCCCAAGCTTCATGAGTATTTAGTGTGTTTAATCTCTTCTCATATGTTTGGTATTTCTTTGCACATTTTCTAGTTGAAGAATTTTGTTTTCAAGGCAGAAGTCTGCTAAAAACTGTACAGCAGTGCTTTCATGTTCAGTTATTGTTCCTTTCCCGGTAATCTCTTGCTCTTCTTGCTTTCTGACTGCTATTGAACATTGAGCTGATAAACTTGGGGATTTGCTTTCTCTTTCCTGTGTGCTAATAGCTTTGCATCCCTCTGCCTGTGCAGTTAAATTTCTTTATACTTGTGCATCGCTATGTTTATTTATGGCTGTTGCATCTAACCTACGAAATTATGGCCATCCACTCAGGATTTAATGTTCTTTTGTGGTCAGCTTTCCTTTATACAGCACTGAGTAATCTAGTAAAGATAATAACCTCCTTACTGTTTTGCTCTCATCGTTTTTTGTACATTTTTCTCTTTATCCCCTGACAGGATCTGGCTGGCCAGTTATTGCTGGTTACTGCTACATACAGCTGCTTTATCTCCTTCATGCTAAACAAATATGGCAGGCATTAAGTTTTATGCAGAAAAATTTCCAAATTTCACTTGGAAACACTTCAAAAATGCATCTGTTAGCCAGCAGTACCAATCACAGTGTTAAAATAGAACTTCAGGTGCATAAATCCTGAAGGAGAGATCAGCCAGTGATTAGCCTCAGGCTGCATTACCCTAGTTTTTGGAGGGGGGTGGGATTTGAGTATCTTTTCTGAACTTCTGAATTGCTTCGTTGCCCAGACACTTTAACTGGATCTCAGGGATGCTGTGAAAACACTTTTTCTCCTGTTTCTTCTTTGGCTCTCCCCAGAAGCCCAGGACTTGACTTTCTTCCGTGCTTGTTAGTTTATAGTCTGATAAGACAGATAATCAATTTGCTTTGAAAATCACCCCTCTCTTTTGCCAGTTGTGGTCCTCAGTGATTCTTGAATCCATTTAATGGCACAAACCCACACACAGCCTTTGGAGAGATCACACAGGCACTGGATCTGGCATTGGGTGGGTCACTGGAGCAAGGAATGGAGACCAGGACCTTTCTCTGGTAACTTCCAGCAGTTATATTAAGTCAGGCTTAATATGATGTAACCTCATCTTCAGCTGCATGAAGCTGATGATACAGCAGGAAATTAGCCTTTGTCAAGGGAAGAGGCAGTGCCCCTTTTGGCTGAATGTGACTGATGCCATGTTGGAGGAGATGTGTAACCAAGGTGCAAGTTATGCTTTGGGACAAGTAGTATTGATTCATTGAGTCCTAATCATAAAAGTAACAGAGCTGGACAGAAGGGATGGATTTGAGATGTTCTTTTCATTCTCTTTGTAAAAGGTCAGGAAAGGAAAATTTTGCTTAAGTATACATAAGAGAATTCTTTTCTTTTTCAAGAAAAGAGCTTTTGATTTTAAGTCTAGTTCAAAAAAGCAATAGAGAGCCTTCAATCTTCTTGTGAAACTGACTTGTACTCAGGACTGTGAGGTTTCTTGAAGATCTTGTGTGCCGAAATCATACACTGCAATTTCTTGTACAGTGTTAGATTCTCTGTGTTTTTGCATCTCACCAGTCCTTAGCCTAGTGTTTTTCATGATTGTAGACATGTCTGGGATTAGACCACTGGCTACTGACTTCAGTACTTCTAGGATGTGGCATTCACTGTACATTTAATGGAATATGCTCCTGTGGTCCCTTTATTTTTTTGTATCCAGATAGGTCAAGAAAAATTAAATGCACATTTAAACAGTATGAACTGTTTAACCATTAAGTTATTCAGACACTTTCTTTAAGCAGACAGAGTAAACATAGACTAGAATAAGTCTAGCTATCCTTTATTTTCTCAACCTGCTGTACATTTTTGTTGAAAGGCAGAATTAGCCGCACAGTTAGGTAAACTGTTAAAAACTGAAATATGGGATGTATTGATCAGTGAATTGGGTCCAAAATGTAGCTTCAGTGCTGTTTCTTCATTAAAATAATTTATGTTTTTTTCACTTCTGTGAACAGTGCATTCTTCAGCCTGTTGACATATTTTTACGTGTTTTTCTCTCTCTTCTACTAGAACGGAGTCATGTCTGGATTGATGCAAATGCTGCTTCTGAAGGTTTCTGCTCACATCACGGAACAGCTGGGAATGGCCCCAGGAGGAGAATTCAGGGAGGCTTTCAAAGAGGTGCGAACTTGAAATGGCTTTTCTGAGGTCAGATTACTGGCCTTTTGCTTCCAGAGTTGAACTCAATAAAACCATTTTGTTATTGCCTAGAAAAGAGCACTCTGGCCATAGCTCTGCTGAGGCCAGTGAAGTAGTAAAAACCATTTTTGACTTCAAACTTTAAGGTACAAAGATTTGGAGACATAAGTGGTAGGAAAGCAATTCCAAAAAGGCATCAAATAATAAGGCTTCTTCCTCATGATATTTCTGAAGACATTCGTTTTCATTAATAACTTAGTTTATTTTAAATAATTGGTTTTGAATTCTAAATATTGATCTTGGTCCCACTGTTGGTGGTGGCAGGATTTCAAGCTGTGAAAACCAGCTCTAAAGGATTAATGAGATCTGATACATTCCATTCATCTGCAAAGACTGGGCAAGTGAAATATCTGACTGGTCTGTTAGTCCTAAACATCACTTTTTGTACTACTGCCAACAGTGATACCTGAAACTAAACAGTAACTGTGTTTTACACTAATCTATTTTTTTTTTTTTTCTGGAAATGTTGGGATGGTATTTTCTGTGTATGTATCCATTTTGCAGAATGTATCTTGCTATTTTTATACAAATTATGTACTAGTAAGGAAATCTGAGAGAACATTGCTGGTAAAAAATCTGGAATAATTTGGTGTATTTATCCTTAATAAAAAGAAAAATTCTTCAAGGCTTATTTTCTTGAGCATTCTAGACCAGAATAAAACATTTTAAGTGTTTCCCATTTTAAGTGGGAAAGGAAAAAAAATAGCTCTGTCCTATTCTAAAGTGATTGTTGGAAATTTTAAAACAACTATGCATAGGAAAGAATTTTCTAGAAATTCAGTACTGTGATAAAATTTGTCAGCATGAGCTTACAGCCAAGTCTCACATTGTCACATGGTATCTGGCATCAGTTATTGTCTCATAAGCTCTTTCTTTGCTATATTTTACCATGCCCAGCTGTAAGGTTGATGGTTCTGACAAATACTAGGTGAAAGCAAAATGTTGACAGTCAGTTCACCTCCGACTTTTTTCAGATTCAGGCAGATATTGAGCGCCATTGTCACCTTATGTAGTAATAATCAGAAGCTTTCTGCTTTAGTACAAGTAATCTCAAGGGTGTGGCATTACAATTTAATACTTCTTACTGTAATACATACTGCATTGTGTAGTGGATTTATTCCTTTATGAAGTAACGTACTAGTGTTTTGTAAATTTTATTTACTGCAAAGCCAAAATATTTTTTTATGTTGAATTATGACACTGCTTGCTCTTTTTTAAGATACCTTGTATAACACGGTAAATCCTTAACATTCACTAATAAGAATGTGATGTGCTGCAGTACAAAACACTGACTAGTTATTTGTATCTTCTCTTTCAGGCCAGTAAAGTACCTTTCTGTAAATTCCACCTCGGTGATCGACCCATCCCTGTAACATTTAAGAGAGCAATTGCTGCACTTTCCTTCTGGCAAAAAGTCAAGCTTGCTTGGGGCCTTTGCTTCTTATCTGACCCCATCAGGTATGAATAAACACTCCATATGTTTTCAGTGGATTATTCAGTTCTTCAGTTTGACATGAGTATGAGGATACCCAGCCTGATGCAATGAAATTTGAAGTTAGGGAGAAGGATGAATACAGATTACCCTGCAATCATATTGTATGTATATCATCGTATTTTTGAAGTGAAAGCTGTCTTTCTGATCTTGTGTCAGGTTGTGGGAACTGACAATGGTCAAATAAGAGACTTTTAGGCTTCAGGCATTAATTTAAGCCTGTGTGAAACCAAGTCACATAACTGTCTCAGACTGGCCTGAGAAAGTGTGGCCTGAGAAATCATAGGAATCAAAACAGTTCTTAGAGGAGGAAAACAGTCCTTGCAGGTGTTTTGATCCTTTTTGTTTTCTTGCAAGAAACAGTCAAGGGGTGTTTTTCGTAATTGTCCAATGATAGTGATGTGTTGGTTTGATGACCAATGAGAGTTTTACCTCTCAGACCCGCTTGGACCTGTCTATAAAAGAAAATCAGGAATACTAAAACTTGCTCTCTTGTGCAACCCAGTTAGAGAGTCTATGTCGTGCTTCCATGGCCGTTCCTAATATAACACATCAAGTGTTGTCTTTCAGTGCATTACTTCCAAGTGAAGTGTAAGATTAGGTGCTGAGGAATTCCTAGTATACTTTAAAAATTTCCTTTAAATTATTATTTTATTATTTTTATGCAGAAAATAAAATCTTTCCCACCACTGTGTGTGGATAATGTAAATAAGAGAAAGACCTCAGTACAATAATTTGTATATTCTGAAGAGTTCTACATCCAGTCATCGTGAGATTCCATGGAAAATGGAGTAATAATTCAACATCAAAATTGTCAGTCTGTTGATGTTTCTGGGTCTGTTGAAAGCTAGCGTTTCTCCTTTAGCTTGCCCTGCTGACATTTGTAGTGTTCTTTCTGTCTTGGAAACTAAAGGAAGCCTGTTTGAAATCGGTCTTTACTAGACAGTGATGCCAAACCAGATAATTTCATTGCTGCAATCTATGACCCACAGCTAAAGGTGCTAACAGAAGGGTTTATAGCACCTATGAAAAGAATAAAAGCTCATTACATTTACTCCTGCAGTTCTTATTTTGCATTTTCTGCCCATTTGCTATTCTTCTGTTCTGGAAATTGGTTTATAACTTTGTCTTCCCTTCTAAAGACCTGTGATTGACACTACAACCTACAGATGTCTTTCCATGCCCTCAGACTGTGCATTACAGTGTGCCTTTTTTGTTCCTTAAGTAGAGTCTCTGAGTGTTCAGTGATCAGATCTGCTACCTCAGAAGAGCTGTGTGTAGGCTCTTCAAAGCTTATCAATACACAATGAAAGTGGGACACCACTTTCTCCTGCCTTTCAAGCCCTAGTGGTTTTGCTGAGTTGAGTTGTCAGCTTTTAAAGTGGGAAGGGAGAAAATCCAGTTGAACTGGCTTAAGGCAAGTGACCTCTTTTCTTTCCTTTTCCTTCACTGTAGAGGCATTGTTAGGTATCAAGTTTTGCAGGTTTATGGAGATTATTTTCCTTCTGGAGAGGAAAACTGAGGGAGGAGAACTGTTGACTGTATTTAGGTATTGGGTTTTTTTTTCATTAGTTTGTCTGTGTTGACCTTTAAAAGTGTAACAGATACTGAGAAAACTTACCTTTCTTTCAGTAAAGATGATGTGGAGAAGTGCAAACAGAAGGATTTACTGGAACAGATGATGGCAGAAATGATTGGAGAATTCCCTGATCTTCATCGAACTATTGTCTCCGAACGAGATATTTACTTGACCTACATGCTGAAGCAAGCAGCAAAGCAGATAGAACTACCTCGAGCTTCAGAAAGTAATTGTTTTAAAGCAGAGATTATAACCAGCAAGGTGTACTTTGTGTACTGGTCCAAAGATCAGTTCTCAGGAAATCTGGGATGCTCTCTTCATGAATGCCACATGTCACATAAGATACAATGCTTAAAAAATTAAAAAGGGATATTACTCTTCTGTTGAAACCACATAGAGCAATAGACTCTAAATTATGTTTCCTTTCTCATTGTGCTATTTAAAATTGGAAAGTACTAATTAGGCAGACAACCATTTCAAAAGGCAGGGATCTGGTAGGGCAGCACAGTATGGGACAGTCTATCTCACTTGCCCCATTATCTCACCAAATTCATTGTTGTCACTGGCTGCTGAGGGACTCATTTATTGATAAGTTAATTCTCTAATTTCAGTACTCTTCATGGGCTTTTTTTTATACTTAAAAATTTGGCTGCTAGGAACTTTGGTGGTCTGGCAGTAATACTCATATGTGACTGCTGTTTCAGCGAAGTATAGGCATATAGAAAGAGTGTTTGTCTAATCTTTGGAATATTCTGCTGGCATATGTGATCTGCATGCCTTTCCTATAGAGATAAGCATACTGAAGTTTGTTACCTCTTACTTTTAAGAAGATAGTGTTTGTCATCACTTTAGTGCAGAACTTCTGTTGTAATTGCAGTTCTGATTTAGAGCAACTCCAGAATAGACTGAGAAAAAGAAAATTTAGAAAAACCAATTTGGTAAATATGTATAATAGTTCTAGTGTTTTCAGTACAGTTTTGTTCCATTTTGAGGTGGGCTGCTCTTTACATTTCTACTTTTGGAAAAATCAAGAGTGGCTATTTAAAGCAAAACAGTGGAACTCATGTTTTATATTTATGTATTATATAGAATTTTCCCCATAGGAAAGTAGCCTGATCATTATTCCTTAGAAGGGTTTTTTGTGGCATGGTGCTATATTTTTCATTAGGGAAAACTTCCAGAAACCAGGTTTTGGATGTTGTGAAATTTGGGTGGTAGATGGGAGGTGAGGGTGAGAGCTGGTGTGCGTTGCATTGGTCTGATGGTAGCTGGCTAACTGCTGGGTGTTACTGGCCTGGGTTTGCTGTTGCTGAGGCCAGGTCTCTAACAGTGACATTCACAGGGACAGGTGTGGTCTCAAGTGTTCTCCAATTGTGAGCCCAAATCTTGTTACATTTTTTGTGCCAGGTGCCACTGTCCAAAGTAGCAGAGAAGGTTCTCTGTTCAGGAGATGCCAAAGACCAGGGATGTTCCTCATAAGCAGCACAGAAACATGACCTATACAGAGAAGGAAAGAAAATTTAGCTTGCATCTGCTGAGCCAGTCACCCTGAGGCTGTAGTATGAGCACTGGCCAGGTCTCTTTATTAAATAAATATTATATATTAAATAAATGACTCCTAAAAATCTAGAAACCATGCTGACTTTTTCAGACTTTCAATGAAAGAGGCAGTAGGTGAGATGAGTATGTAACAGGGTTTCAGTGGTTGGTAGTATGTCCTACTATACAAATCCCTGTATCTTGGAAAAATCAATTTTGTAGTCTCATATATTGCCTATTTATTTAAAGCCTGAAATTAGTTATTTTACAGATATGTTCCTTTCTCTTCATCTCTCTTTTCTCAGATGAACCTAGAAAATATATCCCAGCTGTTGTAGTTGGTGTTGTTGGCATGGGTCATGTACCTGGAATTGAAAAGAACTGGAATTCCGACTTAAAGATCCAGGAAATAATGAGGTAACAGTCGCCCTTTCCTACGTATTGGTGTAACAGCTTCTCTTGCTAAAATCCAGCAGTTTCTTTGGAGGCTTTTTTGGTTGGTTGGCACAGCTTGAAGAATCATCTCTGCTGTCATTCCTGCCCTGTCAGCTCACTAACTTGCTGTGCACTGCTTGCAGATTGTGCTTACAACAAAGAAAAAGAAAAAGTCAAAGGAAAAAAATAAATATTTGAATATGGAGGGAAGTAGAGATGAGACTATGTGCTTGTCTAGGAAGAAAATTAATTGGTCCTCATTTAAGTCTTCTGAAATTGAAATTTCTAATGAGGGCTGTGGAAGATGGTGAAAACAGAACAAGGCTTTTAGTCTAACTTAGGTAAATACAAATCATTGGATTTAAAGCTTTTGTTTTGTCAGGACTGTTGGCTCTGACAAGCTTAGTGTCTCCGTTGCTTGTACCCTATTTTTAAGTGTATATCTAAGTAATGACTTAATTTAATGTGTATACCTAACTAATTATGAGCTGGTTTAAGCTATGTATCTGGTGAACTCTTGCTTCAAAATAAATATTAATATAGGTAATATTAAATATAAATATATTAAATATGAAAATAGATGTATGTGCTTTGTAAAAGACAGAATTGAAGAACCAAAGCATTCAGACTATGTATTCCATAAAGCCACAAAGGTAAGGCGACAAAGGTCAGGATTTCAGAAATACAGGAGAGATTATATAATGCAAGCTAGTAGTATTGGTCTGTTGTGCTTTAGGATTATAGAGTTTTAAATATTCACACTTTCCTTATCGCATCCATTTATTGTGTTTATGTAACCAACTCACCCATCTCTTCAGAGGCTATGAAAACCAGAAAAGACTGACATCCACATAAATGGTATATATAGACATCTAAAATATGATTTAGAGAGACTTGTCTGGATTCAAGAATGCTAAGTACAAAAGCTCTGCCTAGCCATTTATAACTGTCTTTCAAGGCTAAGCCTCACCTGGAGTCACAAACTAGATGTCCATATTCCTCTGCACCCTTGCAAATAACCTGTACAATTAGGTTGTCCAAATCCATGTAGTTGTGTGGTGGCTGTTGGTTGCATCATTGACAACACAGAACTGAATAGCCCAAAGACCAAGTGCATGTCTTCAAGCCTGCACAGAAGGTCTTTATCATTGAAGTTTAGACTTGATTGTCTTTAAACTTTTTTGCCCCCATGCTATTGCACTGCAGTTGCAGAGCAGAGTTAGGGCTTTCTTTTGTGTGTTTAGTGTTCATCACCTCTCTAAGGTGGCAAGTTTTTAAGACTTTCACAGGTATTTAGTTAAATTTTAGACCTTGGAACACGAAAATTTTCTGGATAAAAATATACATATATTTCTATTTTTTTTCTCATTTTTAAGTTCATGCATTGAACCTGACTCCTAGCATTAGACTTTGTCTTCCACAGAATATTTTGAGTTGGAAGAGATCATCAAATACAACTTCTAAGTGAATGGCCCATACTGGGATTGAACTTATAACCTGGGCATTATTAGCACTGTGCCCTGACCAGCTGTTATTAATTGATTTTTTTTAATTGTGGTGAGGTATTAGAATTGAGCAAGAATCGGTGGAGAAGGGTATAAAAATGTGTAAAGAGATGCCTTTACACCATTCTTGGTTCAATACATATGCTTTTTTAAAACTCTCCTGTATATTGCTGTAATGTGCACCAAGTCTTAGCAGTGATAACTTTCCCCTAGTTTGAGCACATGGATCTAAGCTCAGTCTAGTTGTATCCTAATCTCAGCACATCTAACCTGGTTTGACAGCACCCAATGTTTTTGCACTATTGTAACTGATTACTTCTGAATACATTAGAAACTTTTCCTGGCTATAAATAAATGATAACTTCAGGCTCCTTTGAAGCAATATATGGAAGCCTCTGAGTTGAGTGAGAGGATTATGAGTTGCTGTGGGTTCAGGGCCAGCTGAACTGCTGCAGAGCCTGTCAGTGAGGGTGCAGGGCTGCACGTGTATGTGTCTGTGCTCTCCAAGTCAGCTTTATTGGGAAGGTAATACTAATTGTTTGCTTCATACCCCAACAGTGAAACTGCTTGAAGGTTGTGGGGATAGACCTGGTGTGTCTGTTGTCCTGTGCCCTCCTGGGTCACGTGGCCAGTGCAAAGACTTCCAAGTGGCTCTGTGAAAATCTCAATATTCTCTTTTAGTATTCAAGAAGTCTGGAAAGAAGAAAATGATTTAGCTATTTTGGCAGGGTGATGGACAAGTAAAGGTTTGTAGCCATTAGGAGTGGCATAATACATAAGTAGAATAGGCTTTGTTAGTGTTTATTTATTTTTATTGTTATTTAATTGTATGTAGCCCTTGAACATGCATCATGAATGAACAATGTATTCTTTCATCTGTTACCCAAAAATTTCCTGCACTGTGGAGAGAAAGGGGAGAAAAGATCCCTTTTTCTTTTTTTTTTTTAAATTGAAAAATGCCTACTCTTTACAGCTATGCAAATATTGTTTTCTGTCTTTTGTTTCAGTGTGCCTCCTCCATCACCTTCAAGTAAGATTTTCAAATTCGTTTTAAAAGCAACAGTTTTTGGACTGCTGGGATACGGCTGCTACCGAATAGGTCACAGGACAGTTCAGTTTGTTCTTTCAATGCCAGCAACACAGAGCTATCTTCAGAGGCTGTCAGAGGTGCCTCAGCAGTGAATCGAGTAGAGGCTGTGTGAAGAAGGTGGCTGAAGAAAGGCTGATAGAGGCAATGCGTGAACTGGACTGAAGGATGAGGATTCTAGTCAGAGCTGATTGATGCTAAGCTACACTCAATCACTATGTAATAAAAGATTTGATACTAAAGTTACACCAGCTATGATCTAATTAATAGTTTTGATTCTTGATAGGTGTGCTGCATGAAACCAGATGATTCCAGATTGAGGTAAAGAAATGTGTATGCAAATATATATATATAATGTATGCATACTGTATACACGTATACTATATATATGCATTATATATATATATATAACTGATGATGTAGTAAAGGCAGCTTAAAGGGTGTGTTCATGGCTTCTTTTCCAGAGGAAAGAACAACACAAAATAACCTAATTGGCTGCATCTCCTCTGAAGTTCAGGGACACTTGAGTGAGTCTTTGCTTTTTTTCTTAGGCATAATACCAAGTGTTTGTTCCTGGTGCCAGACACTTTTACACATAATTTAAAAGGACATCTTCTCAATGTGTATTTTATACCTAAAACATTTAGGCTTTTTTTAAACTTAAGAGCTTTCCAGAAATTTCAGAATTGTACAGGCTGTCATACGTACACGGCTCAAATTTTTTACAAGCCTTATTGAAGAACAGGAATGTTGCCTTTAGATTGCATCCCTTGTTACCACCACCAGTTGAATTGTCTTTCTCCTGCATAGAGAAGGTACAGCCACCCCATCAGAATGCAATGTGGTTTGTGTCAGATGTTTACAGGACACTGTTCCTTTAGATTAGCTTATTTAAACTGTATTATTTAGCCAAATCCTGCTGGTTTCAGTATTGTAAATTTAAGAGACTAGAACTACTGTACAATTCACTTTCTTTACTCAGACCTTTCATATTTGGCATAAAAAGCCTGGAATTAACCTGCCCCTTGGTTTTGCTACATGAAAATATTTTATTTATCAATGTAATTTCCCAGTGGATTAATATTTTAATCTATTTAATAGGAAAACAGTGTTCAGTTTAGTTTTTCAACCAACTGTAGCATTTTATTTGGATTAACTGCTATTTATACACAGAATTATGGGTACTACAGACTGCTGTTTCTTTTTTTATTATCTGGAACACTCATCCATCATCAATGTATTTCTTTTTTTTAATCCTAGGTTCATATTTCATTGAAATTTTTTGGTACCTTCCCTTTTTACAGGATTGTCAGTGATTGTAAAATGCCCTTGGCAATCAGCTAGTCCTAGTTCAACAACACAGATAACATTGTCATATCAAAGTTAACCCAATGTATTTGAATGGAAGAGTCCCATTTGCTCCTCAGGCTCATAAACAGTTGCTCATTGTTTTTAAAGTGAGGTTTTTATCTGTATTAATTTCTTTTGGGAATGAAAGATGGGAACCAGTATGTGAGGCAGGAGGAGGAAAAGGTGATGTTGTGTTTTGTGTTTCTTTGTGTTTTTTCAGTTGGTTCAATAAAATCCAGAAACCACTTTTAATTTGGTATATTTCCAAAGGCTTGTGTTGGAAGTGTTTCCATACAATCTTTTGTTTGCTCAGAGTATGTACATCTATCTTCTGTACAGTGTAGTCTTTTTTAAGCTTTTAAAATTAAGGGTCTGATGCTCCTCTCTGTGATGGTATTGACTTTGCTGGGAGCTGGTCTGTCCATGCAACCTGATGCTTTTCTGCCTTGCTCTTTGAAAATTTTATGAGTTCCAGTGCAGCAAATTATTAAAGTGCATGTTTATTTTTAACCTTACTGAATCTAACCTGATTCTGCAGAGCTCTTAAGACATTGCTAGGTGCTTTTCTGGGTCTGAGCCTTACAGGTGTCCAGGGAATAAACCTTAGCAAATGAGAATGACAGCAGTTCATGTGTCTAGGACACAAAATGTAAATGATAATACAGAAAACAGCGGGGCAGGTCCTTTTATTTTGTATTTATTAGTGCTTAAAAAACCACCAGCCATCTCTAGCAAGAGGAAAATCAACATTTGTAAACAATTTATAGAAGAGTAGAGTGACTGCCTGAATTTTGATTCCTGTTTTTTAAAAACATTCAATCTATTGTTTACAATTAAGCAGTCCTATTTGAATAATTCTATTACATTTTATGTACATTTTTAAAAGATGAAAGCAAAAGCTTAAACTTACTCTTCTCCTGGCTTTCCTGACATACCAAACTGTTCTGTTGGTTATTTTTTTGAGAATATTTAGCTAGTAGAAATAAATATATGGATATTTTGCTTTAAGTTCTCTACAGATTTTTAAAGTATCTGCGGGTATTTTAAAAGCTCTGTAGATCTTTGATATCTGTGCTCAGGTAATTTTACACAAAAAACAAATCTAAGGTAAATTTTAGATAGGAGCCTTAATCTTGGGTGGGACTAATGGTAAATGATTGTCATGGAGCATTCTTGCAGACTTGATGTTTTATGCTTTTTAGCCAAAAGTCATTACCAACTAAGGTGTCCATTCGTTATTCAGTTATCCTCTCCAGCCAGTACCATAAGTCTATTGTTTCAGCCTTTTTTTTTTTTTCTTTCTTTTTCTTTTTTTTTTTTTTTTTTTTACAAAGCATATCAGCACATTCTTCAGGGAACCTCTTTGTGGATGGAGAATTTGCAATGTATCTTCCCACAGTTGCAAATTGGCAGATCATATGCATGCACTGTTTATTCAGTGGCACTGGAAAGTGATGAATTTGCAGAACAATTCTATGAATCCATACACAGATTCTTAATGTTGTATGTTCAATGTGTTGTACTGTTTATATAACATAATCTGTGTTTCAGGTCCATTCTTTTCTGTTCTAGTCAGTCCTTTCAGTGTTAGCAGCATCCTGTAAAATTTAAGTATATGTTGAATTGTCCCAGCCCCACCTCAACCTTATGAAGCCATATTGTATTTTTTTGGTGACATGTACATCTGTTTTATGCATTTGTACATGTGATGTAAATTTGAAGTATTTTTAACAATGTGTGCCTTTAAAGTGATTTAAAGTAAACAGCAGTATGTTCTATTATATAAAAAATAAAGTATTTTAACCACCATTTCTGCTGAAGGTATTTATTTTCCTAATTAGCCAGTATTTTTATTGAGAGCAAACTCTGGTTAGCTAGATCTAGTACAGGATAATTCCACCATCTTACACATTTTCTTGCAGAACATTAGTTGAACTAATTACCTCCTGCTGAGGGGCATCTGGGTGCAATGCTGAAGCTGGGGAACAGTAGGCAGTTCCTCTGCCTACCACGTGTAACTGGTTAAGAAGAAAAGGATGAGTTTCCCTGTCCTACTGAGCACACAGGGAGACTGCTCAATGTGAGAACTTACAGAGCCCAGAGTTAGGCATGGTGAGTAGATTTTGTTGTTGCTTTTCCTGTCTCCAGTGCACAGTCTTGCAAGGAGCTGACAGCTGTAGTCCCAGTCCAGCAAAGCACTCCAACATTGGCTTGACATCAGGCACAGTCATGTGTGCTTCAGGTGTGTGGCAAATAAAGATCCTTTAAGTGCAAAAGATGTTGAATGGGTGGCAGAGCTTTTTCTTTGAAATTGACACAGGTAAATCACTGTGACTTTTACTTTAAAAAAACATATTAATCCAAAGACCCTGTATTCATATATATGATAAGCTGTATTCCATACAGATAATGTACCATCTATTTGAACCCTTTGTTAATCAGTGGTCCATCTTTTTTGATTGTATGTAAAGCAAAATGCAGCCTGTTGTTTTTCCTTGATCAGACAATAGTTCCCTCCAGCTGCAATTGGAGCTGTGGCTACAAAGAATTGCTGGTTAAACCATTTATGTGGAAGAAAAATCTCTGAATACTGTAGTCCTGTATTGTCCCTGGGAGTGGCAGAAGAGGCTGCACAGCAGCTCAGCTCTGGGGCAGTGCTCGCTCAGCCTCAGGTGGCACCCGGCAGCTGCCTGCTTTGGGAGTGTTGTTCACCAGCATTATGTTTTTACACTGCTGGCCCACACCATGTTTAAGGTGTCTTTTCTATACCAAATACTGAACAAAATTTAAAAATTTCCTATTTGAGGTGGATTAAAGTGTCTGTGTTTCCACTGGAAGTTGTATTTCTGTGTGTATTGTAAAACATCTAAAAAACTGAGAAATATATCAAGTAACCTCAAAGTGCCAGGCAGTGGGAAAAACACATGGAAAAGAAACAGCACATTATCACTTGTGTAACTCTAAGATTCTCATGTATGTATTTCCCTGTTTCTTTTTAAAACCAAAATAAATTTTATTTATTAACAAAGATGTTACCCTGACTCCCGGTAGAAAAAAGGCTGGGAGCTGGGGGCGTGTGTTCTTTTCCATCACAAGACCTCGTCCTTTGAGTCCTGACACCTGGCTTGGCTCTGGCTCCTCCTTGGTAGCTCCCTGCTGGGGGTGACTGCTGCAAAGTGAGCAAATGCTTGCTTTTGCTTGTTGGATGTTTTGTTGGTTTGTGTGGTAGGACACAGAAAAGCTCTGTGATGATAGGGACAGGGGGAAAGACGAACACAGCTACTTTCACATGTGCTTTATCCAAGATACTTGGTACTTGTGCATTATGACTAATGCATGACTAATTCCTCAAAAGTAGGAAGGATCAGACCTAAAAGAAAAGAAAATGCTAAAGAACAAAATTATCCCAGCTAGATGACATTCTTACAGTGGTCAGATGTCCCTGATTCTGGCTACAGAGACGATTTACAAACTGGACAAAGTAATGAAAAGTGAGATTTGATTAGAGCAGGGTGGTTAATAATGTGATATATGCAACTAAGCGGCATATCTGCTTTCTCCAGGGCCAGCAGGAGTGTTCTGTTCCTGGAGTTCTGTGTGGGCAAGCCTGGTAAAAGTCGCTCAGGCTTTTAAGTTTGTGCAAGTTGCCACTATCTGCTAACACAAGTGGGAGTTGGGAGAGGTTAGTTTGATCTCAGAGTGCAATAAGGACACAAAGGGATTTCAGTTTAAATCACAACAGCAATGATGCACCTTTATTTTAGTGCCAACTACATGGGTTATGCGATAGATGAAAGGGAGAGAGAGAGAGGGATAAGAGGCAAAATAAAGAGAGAAAAAAAAGGGGGGTTATAGCTACCAACAGACAAGATGGGGTCACTAGTGTCTTCTTCCGTGGGGAAATCTCTTTCAGAAAGTAACTTAGGGGCAGTTGGCCAAGAGGTGGGGAGATTCACAGCCCATTGTGATAAGACCCATTGCTCAGGGAAGCAAGTGTAAGGTACAGACCAGCCCTCTCCTCACCAGTCCCTGCTCACCAGCAGGAACGAAGGCAGCGTACCACGGCAGCACAGCGAGCACACTTGCAAACAACCACTTGACAAGTGTCCACCTCAACCAGGCCAGAACCCCTGTACAAAGTGTCCTGGGGTCTTCAGCGTCTTGGTCTCTGTTCTTGCGACGGTCGCGGGGCAGATAAGGGAAACTTCGGACCGTCTCTTACAGAAGTGCAGCAGAGTTCTGGGTGTGCATCACCCAAATGCCACGGGGCAGCTCCTCTCCCTCTCCCTGCTGCCACCACCACGTCTTCTCTGCTATGGTTACACCCCAGTTCTTTAGAGCTGAGACTCAGGTTAGAGTTTAGCTGAGAGTACAAGTAATAGTAATAATGTAGTGCCATCTACCGTCTGTAAATGGTTCACCTGCTAGGGCCGGGTTAAGTGGAGGCGTCCACTGGACCCTTCAGAGAAAGTTAAGTGTGGACACTTAGAAGAGGTTTGGTCTTGACCCACCACTGAGGTAGCTGCTATTAACTGAAATAAAACTGGAGCATCGTGAATAAGTACTGACTTCTGGCATACATACGTTTATCTTTTTTCTTCTTTTGAGTCCCGCACCCCGCGCTGCTGGCGGCTGCTCGAGTGGGCCGAGCCGCCCGGCCCGGGGCCAACTTTCATGCGCCGGGCCGCAGCCCCACTCCCCGGCTCGGCTGTCCGGGCTCGGCTGTCCCGGCTCGGCTGTCCCGGCTCGGCTGTCCCGGCTCGGCTGTCCCGGCTCGGCTGTCCCGGCTCGGCTGTCCCGGCTCGGCTGTCCCG